TAGTATGATATTCAAGTTACCTCATTTCCTATTTATAATACACATATGAGAGTGGCTACCAGATTCCTGAATTTACCAGACCAATAAAGTCAAGCCCTTCAAAAATTAGAGGAAACAATATTATGTGGTCAACTTTTCTTTTTTATTATTAAAAGTTTTTTTTAAATTGATTTTGAGAGAGAGGGGAAAAGTGAGGGAGAGAGAGAAACATTGATGTGAGAGCGAAACATGGATCAGCTGCCTCCTACACACCCCCTACCGGGGATCGAGCCTGCAACCAGGGTATGTGCCCTGATTGGGAACTGAACCCACAAACTTTTGGTGCACAGGATGACACTCAGCCAACTGACCCACACCAGCCAGGGCTATGCTGTCAACTTTTAATTTTGCCAAATAAATAAAAAATATTACAACTATCATATAGCATGTCACCATATTGCCTAAAAGAAAGAACTTTTACCACCACGTGTAGGACAGACCATGTAAGCTTCTCCATGTGTCCAGGTGGGATATCAAATTCAACAACATTCCTGGAGTTCAGGGACAGGAGAGGTACACATTATTTGATCCTCTCTACTCTCCTACAAAGATTGGCTCCTTGTTACAGTGTTAAGACATGTTACGTGAAAATGCTTCCAAAATAAAGCAAGGAAGTGGGTGGTGGTTCAGGATGAAATGACAGTTGCCAATCCGGAGTTGTTCATCGCTGAAGTGGGTGATGGGCACCTTGGTTCATTATTACTCTCTCTACTTTTGTGTCTGTGTTCAAAATTTTCTCTAGTAAAAAGTTAAAAATTTTTTTTTTAAAGAAAACATAGTATAGCCCAGCCCACATGGCTCAGCGGTTGAGCGTGGACCCAGGATCCAGGAGATCACGGTTCGATTCGCCATCAGGGAGACGTGCCCGGGTTGCGGGCTCCATCCCCAGTAGGGGGCGTGCAAGAGGCAGCTGATGAATGACTCTCATCATTGATGTTTCCCTCTCTCGCTCCCTTCCTCTCTGTCTGAAATCAATAAGGATATATTTAAAAAAAGAAAATACAGTGTAATGTTAAGACTTGATAAAGCTGGGTAAGGAGCATACACGCGTTTATCCTGTATCGTTTGAGCAGACTTCCCTTTAACTTTTGCATTTACGATCTGCTTTGAAGTTCCTGCGGGCTCACTCCAACCATTAGGCCCACCGTTTCTTTTGACTGCCTTTTTCCTGAGCATGGTTCACACTTTCTTTGCATTCTCATCATTCTCATAGTTGTTGGTTGAAATCTGGACGGTGTAGATCATATATAGCAACTATGGATTGTGGTGTATACCTCTGGTTTTGTAAAATTCGGATTTAAACTGAGCAATCCGACTTCCCCGCAGGAGGGTGTGGCTGCTGAGGTCTCTGCCGTTTTTATATTATTTGAATCCTTTACTCTGGCTTCCCGAGGTTGCTGCTGCAGGCTGAACGGTCAGCAGGAGGCTGTGCTCATTAAACACCTCGAGCCCACGTGGCTCCCGTGATCGCCGCGGGCATGTGTAGACTGAGAAATACAGGCCAGGCTCCAGGCTGAGCCCCCCCCCCCGCGCTCTGGGTTCCCCCTGCCCAGGGCTTTCTCCGCTCCAGGGGCTCCTCGTTACATTTCCACTGGCCAGCACTGCTCTACCTGGAACTGCAACCTCAGGCTAGCAAAGCTTTTTCTCCAGGTTTCCTTCCAAGTTCACCACTTTAACTGGCAAAGTCATGGTTTTTGCACAGC